CGCGCCGCCCGCACCCGCCGCACCCCCCGCACCCCCCAGGCTCGCAGTCAAGCTCTGCACCGCCTGCACCTCCAGCTCGCCTGACGGAAGTTTTAAAATATACAATTTTGATTCTTGCAACAGAACACTTTTTTTTAACGAAATGAAGAAAAAAATGTTTCGCTCAAAATAAAATGGTAAATCGCCGGGTACCTTGCTCGTTCTCGAGCTGCTGGGCCTCTGTGGCGAAGCTGATGCAGGGGTCCTTGAGGCTGAAGAGGGCCCAGGACTTGGCTTTCATGCTGGTGCCGTGGAAACAGCCCAGGGAGATGTTGGTACCGTGCAGCTCCATCGTACCGCCCAGCACAGTACCTGACCATGAACAAGTATAATTTCAAATAATAGTTTATTTATTAGTGACGTGAGATGCAGTGGTAGAGGAGTGGAGAGGGGAGGGAGGTCGTACCGTTGGCGGGCAGGGGCGCGGGCAGCGTGGACAGCTGCATGCCGGACACGAGGCGCAGCACCTTCTGCCAGTGCCGGTGGTGCCGCAGCTCCTGCTGGTGCTGCTGTTGCTGCTGATCACTCTGCACTGGATTCACATTCGCTGCAAGAAAACATAATTTACAAACTCACTTTATACTTCCACGAAAATATAGTTAGTTTTTGTGGTCTGTTAATTGAGAAATGATTTCTTACGTTCTCTATTCTTATCTCTCCTGGCCGTCGCATAGTTGGGATGCAGAGAGCTGAACACGCGCTTGCTGGACTTGAACTGCTGCGTGAAGAACTCCTCGAGCTTGAGCTGCATCTTGAGGAGGTCCGGCGTCGTGCTGCGACTCATCAGAATCTGTAGCTGGTGCCAGCTCAGCGTGCCGTGGATCAGGATAATGGCGGGCCTGCAAACGGAACCTTATGTTTTGTGATGCAAAAAACAATTTCAATAGTTGTTTATAACCAAAAGAAGTTTTATAGTTCTACTTGACAGTAGAGTGATTACACGCGCTGACCTGGGTAGTGGGCGTGGCCGCGGCGTGCGCGGGCGCGTGCGCGCGAGCCACTCATCGCGCAGGGCGGCGCGCAGGCGGGAGACGCGCGCGAGCAGCGCAGCCGTGCCCATGTACTCCAGCCTCAACTCGAGCGCGGCCAGCTGCACACCCAGCACGTGCCCCGGGTTGCAACCCGGCTCCTCCTCTATGTGTACTGCAACAGACACTTCATTACATACACGCAACGACATGTTGTTCATGAATAAATTTTCAATCTATCGAAGATCCAAGAATTCTAAAAAAAACAACTATTGGCAGTTAAACTTACAGTGTGCGCGCAGTGCGGAGAGCGAGATGGCGCCACCGACGATGCCGGCGCGCGCGTCCAGTGCGGAGGCGCCGAGCTCGACGCGCACCACCATGTGCCGCCGGTGCGTGCTGCCGATGCTCAGCCGACCCGACGCGCCCAGAGACCGGCTCTGCCAGCTGCAACACGAACATAATATCACTTCTGATACCTACGACTAGGTCATCCGCAGTGTGTGCATGTTGTTAAACCGACCTCACGTTGCCCATGACGTTGCCCATGTTCATGTGCACGTTCAGCCGCGTGAAGTTCACCGCGAACAGCACCAGCGTCTCCCACGCCGCACTCCCGCCGCCCCCGCCCCCGGCCCCGCCCTCTCCTGCGCTCTCTACAATCAAACTCATTAAACATTTTATCTATTTTTGTACATTAATATTAAACAACGTGGCTTGTTAAAATAATGTAAATTGGAATAAGGATAAAGAGGTCAACCTTTAACTTTTGGTGTATCAACAGTCTTAGTTTTCTCTCTCTGCGGCAGCACGGGCGACACGGGAGCATTGCTGCTCGTCCTGCAGTACAAGTATGTATTTAATTAGTCCCTGAAGCGACATGAAATCTTTAGAATCAACATTTCAAAAGTGTGCACTAACCCGGGCTGCGCGTGCGCATGTCTGTCGTGCCTGTCATGTCTGTCGTGTCTGTCGTGTCGGTCGTGCCTGTCGTGTCTGTCGTGGTGCACGCTGACGTCGCCGAGGAACATGCGGCGCACGATGCTGCGCCGGTACCACGCCTTGGGGAACGCGAGGATCTCTCCCAGACGCCGCATGTCGTACTTGAACCACGCCGACCCCACGTCCACGATAGCTGTCAACATACACCGGTTACTCTCTTCTTTTAGTCGCCATCTTTGTCTAAATAGAGAAAACAAATCTGTACTCACTGGAGAACCTAACGGTGGCCTTGGAGTGGTCCTGGTCGGCATGGAAGTCGAGTTTGCGCGAGCGCGACAGGTGGAACTTGACGAACTCCACGTTGACGCTGAGCGAGTCTTTGCGCTCCGAGTCGGCGAGCGGCGACCACTGCGCCTCTTTTAGGCTGGATTTCTTGCCGCCGTACGGGTGGAAGATGTACACAGAGAAATCGGCCAGGCATCCCGTCACGCTCAGCCCTCCCATCGCTACAGCGGGCTCCGCCATTTCCCTGCGATAAATTCATATAACTATAGAGATCGCCAGAGTACTGTGGCAGAGGTAATTGTATGTATGTCACCATAGACAGTAAGTGAAAGAGTCCTGGTGTACTCACTCGTCGCTAGCGCGCTTGGAGCTGAAGACGATGCGCAGGCTGGGCAGCTGCAGCAGGCACTCGACGCGGGAGGCGGGCAGGCAGCTGAAGCGGAAGGCGGAAGGCCGCGTGTGGAAGTGCACGATCACGTCTACGGGGAACGAGGCGTACACGTACTGCCCGTACGACGCGCCGCCGCTCGACCGCGACCGCGATGCACTCTCCGCCTCTGTCACCATATCACCACCGTGTATTAATAACCTTTTAAATTTCTTTTCTACAGAACCACATTGTTAACATAAAATGACTACCGAAATGTTAATCATATAACAAACCTGGTGTGGGTGTGGCTGAGAAGGAAGCCTTGGTGGGTATAGGCTCGAGCGTCTGCTCCAAGAACTCCAGTATGTGCGGACTGATGATGGTCTCCTCGGGAATGCTCTGCAGCGTGATCCAGGCGAAGAGCGCGGCCTTCTTGGTGGCCAGCTTGCGCGCCGCCGCGCCCAGCGGCAGCGACACGTCCTCCGGTAGGGTTTTAGATTCGTAATGCACCTGAATGAAGTTTATAATAATACAATAACATACCAAAAAGTAAGTTAGTGCGAACGTGAATCGGTCCGGTTCAGTTTACCTTGAGCTGCAGTCCGGGCACGCGGAAGACAGTGAGGTCAGGTGCGGGCGGCAGACGCGGCTTGCGGCGCGTGCCCGGCGAGCTGGCCTCGCTGCCGCCCGCACCCGCGCCCGCACCGGACCCGCCGCCCGCCGCCCCCCCGCCCGACAGACCGCCCGACGCAGACCGGCCCACACGACCACGAGACCCCCCACTGCACCCACACAATACAACTATTACTTTGGTATACAGATCATTTATTCGAATGCGTATGATGTGCACGTGTGCGTGAGACATTACATCTTGATGTCGTCGTCGCGCGCGGGCTCCTTGGTGTGCAGCACGCACTTGCCGCTGTTGATGTGCACCTTCACGTCCAGCTCCAGGTCGATGTTGGGCTCCGCGGTCTTCGTCTTAACGCCGCTCTTGCCCTCCTTGCCCTCTTGACCTTGATTCTCGGACAACGATCTGTTTGAATGTTAGAAAAGTTGTTAAAGTACAATGCTTGAAGATGGATGTCGTTGAATTGTCGGAAAAAAATAATGTTATATTCTTTTCATAGAGCAAATAAAATTTATACCATACCCTGGATCGTTTCTGCGACGCGGATGTGGCGTATCGCGACGCTCGGGCCAGGGTGCGGGCAGCGAACTCTGTCGTTGCACGGGGGGTATGCCGCTGCCCGACGTGCGCGTGCGCGTGCGCAGTGACCACGTGCGAGACGGACCTGATACGTTGTACATAAAATTTAGTAAGATATGAGAGTATTGTTGTAGATAAGGATTGAGAGGTGTCGGAAGTGGCGCCGACCTGGAAGCGGCTCGCTGTCCATGGAGCTCCAGCTGCCGGCCTCCATGATGTCGGCCAGTCGGCTGTCCTCGTCCGCCAGCAGAAGCGTTTCCCCGGAGCCCCCCGAGCCGCCGGACCCGCCCGCAGCGCTCGCAGACGCCAGGTGAGCCTCCAGGATTCTGGACCAACATCAAACATAACATAGAGATACGTATGCAATAGTATAATGGTTTAACAACTGATTATTGTAATTTTCTTAACATGAAAACATATTTACACAAGTGTGTTATAAATTAATAATTTATAAAAATCCACACTGACCCTTCGGCATCGCGTAAGGGCGAGGGCGGCGAGAGCGGCGAGGGTGGTGAGGGCGGCGAAGGCGGGGACAATGTAGAGGGCGGGCTGAGCGTGGAGGGCGGCGCGGGAGGGGGCGGGGCCGCCGACACGAACGACTGGCTGCGGTTGGAGCCCAGGCCCAGCTTGCCCTTCGTAATGGAGCTGGCGCGCACGCTCTGACGCCGCAACTTCTGGATCATGTCCCTGCAGAGATGCGATGCAAGTTTAATCATAAGTTCGATCTGAGGCTGCATAGTGTAGTGTGGAACACGGTGCAGTGTGCTGACCTCCTAAAATCCTTGAAGACGAGTGCCTCGAGGTCGTGCAGACGGCGCAGCTCGTGGTCGACGGTGGCGCGGCTGGCGCCGAGCGCGCGCAGGTCGTGTATGATGCGCGCCTGCTCGCTCATCTCCTGCTCGATCAGCTTGGACCGCTTCTTGGCGTCCAGGCTCGCGTCGAACACGAATGCGGGCAGGTGGTCCGCGTACTTGCGCCGGTACACAATGCTCTCCTTAAACACAAACTTGCATTTACATACAGAACTTCGTGTTTACACAAATATTGTTGTTTTACATACCTGAGAACCTTTGCTGTTATCGGCCTCGTCATCTAAATCACTCTCATAAGGATCCATTTTCGGGAACGGGTCTTCCTCTTCGAATCCTTTAACAAATATAATGAGAAGATAAGAATACGAATTATACAATTTGGTATAGATGTCGAATACAAAATGAGATGTGATAGTGTACCGGTGAGCATGGTGAGCGTATGCCCGAGCGCGGAGAGCTGCTTGCCCACGCTCACGTCCAGGTGGATGTCCACGCCCTCCATCTGCCACGACACGTTCAGGAACCACTTCGCGTTCTCTGCAAACCGTAACAATACGTAATGTAACGTTATGCGTAACACAAAATATTTGCGAAGCTATCGAGCTTATTACCGTTGTGCTTGGCTGCGGTGGTGCGGCTGCAGACCTCGTAGGTGCCCTCGGAGACGCAGCACACGTTGGTGGTGGCCTCCGCCGGCTCCGGCTTCCAGTCGTCCAGTGAAGCCTCGAAGTCCTCCGCGAACCGCAGGCAAAGACCCACGAACCGACCCTACACCATATTGAGAAAAGTGAAGAAAAATATTTTATATAATTAAGTGATAATTATTTGGTGTTTCCTGTTTACCTTGCTGACGAGTGATCCCGAGCTGCAGGCGGAGATGCTAGTGCTCTCCAAGGTGACGACGACAGCGCCGCGGCTGTCCTGCTCGCACGCGCCCCGCCCCCACGTCGCCTGGACACATATTATTACATCAGTTACAAAGCTGCTGCAGGGCTAGTAACAGAGTGAGAAAGAACGTATACTGACGAGTGGTGGCTGGTTGAGAGGCAGGCAGATGCCAATGTCGTCGACGTTGAGCTGCAGGAACAGCGTGCTGAGGTGCGGCGTCGTGATCTGTGACGTCAGCTGAACCTGTCATATACAAAACAATAAAAATCAATAAAAACCTTCCAAAATTTACATTATTACTATTAGTAATTTACCTTCTCGAAGACCTGCTGGGTGGCGGTGAGCACCTCCTTGTTGAGGTTGAGGCGCTTCTCATTCCAGTACTCGTAGGCGTTCTTGTAGTTGAGCCAGACGAGGATGGCCTTGTCTACGGCGACGGGCTGCACGTACACGAGCGGCCGCTTCAGCGTGATCAGCACCACCTCCTTCTCCTCCCCGAGCTCCCCCCCGCGCTCCTCCTCCTGTCCGCTCAGCTCCTCTTGGAACGCATTGCGCATTGCTGTCGAACACGACTATACTTGTAGGTCCTGGTCCTTGCATACTTGTTGCTTGTTTCAAAATTATATTTATGCTTACATATTCTAGTGTTGAAGAATGCATACTGTTGGAACTCGGGCTCTGCCTCCTCGAACATCGCGTTGCGGATCAGCTGGCCCAGGCTCAGGTTCACGTCCACCTAAATAAAATAAATATACATAGTACAAAACTATTCTTATCTAATTTTTTGCTTATTAAGTGGGCAGGGTCAGTGGGCGGTACCTGCGCGCGCGCAAACAGCCGGAGGTCGTGCGGCGCGGCGGCGGCGGGCGCGGGCACGTTCTGCACGCGGTTGGACAGCTCGAACTCCACGGCGCCCGTCTCCAGCCGCACCGCCGAGCTGCTGGGCGTCGTCGCCGTCAGTTGAATACGCTGCCAGAACACAGATGCTTACAACTTTTGCCTATCACAAATATTATGAAAAGATCACCTTCTGTTAAATGCAAAATTAATTAATAACACAAAAATAACCTTGATTCTTATGATAAGGGAGAACAGTATCCTGCTAAGCGCGGAGGACGAGGCTTCCTCCTCGTTCCATAGCGGCACAGGCTTTTCTCCGCCGTATACTTTCTGTACTACTTCGTTCACTTCCTGGAATCAGTACAGTATAGTAAATTACCGAGATACAACCACGATTTTTGGGAATACCATCGTTAGCTAGTCTTTTTGACAAAAACTCACCTTCATAAAGACTTTCTGCACAAAGACGAGGTGGTTGAGAAGATCTGTGGAGAGCGTATGCTCGAAGAGGCCGATGTCAGCGGTGGCAGCGAGGTAGCGGCCCGCGCGCAGCACCACGCCCTCGTCACCCGCCCCGCCCTCCTCACTGCCCGCCCCGCCCTCCTCCGCACCGCG